AAAAGAAAGACATAAAAGGCATGGAAGTCGGACGACCCCACTTGAGTTTGTCACTGAAATCGTTTTACATAATACCGGATAGCATAATAGAATCGTATGCAAAGCTTCATGTGACCCAAAACGTGATCGCTGCAAAGGCGATTGGCTCGCACTTGTATTTGACGTGGCCTTTTCCGCAAACACATTTATTGCACACTGAATATTCTATGTACGTTCCTATTGTTACCTGTAAGCAGTTGTATATATTTCCTCAAGCATGTCCTATTACGGCAAATTAAACATTTTTTTCCACTTGTAAAGATCACTCCTACTTTAACTTCTGGAAGGAGCGTTGTGACAGCTTGAAAGAGCACACTCCTTGATATGCACCATGTGCACGTAAAATTGATTTCAGTGTTTTTACTGTGACATGCTCTTTGAATGTAAGCGAGCACAAGTCCTGAAAGCGATGATGGTTTTTTGCAGGTTCGAGACGGGTTGTGTAACGTCTTACTTCAGAACTTATCATACGGAGGGTCAGTGCTGCAGACAATTCCGGCAATTCCAGAGTGTAAACGTGAGCCTAGAGGACAACGATAATTGCGGGGACTCCTGGTGAAGGACAAATACGTTCATTAGGAGTGGAACTGGTGGAGCTACTCGGACGTGACAAGCAAGGCTGAATCGAGAAGGAATTTGGATGTCCCACTTGGTCAGTTGTGACCGAGCTAGAGAATCTTCGACATTGATCGGCCACACGATAAAAGGATCACTCAGCAGAAGACAAGGGATGGGAAGGAGAATTTCTCTTTCATGCACTATACAAACCTGGTACGTCATTCCGGTCCATGCAGCACTCTTTGGCTTAGAAAAATTTTATCATATCGAAGGAATCCTAGTCTGCGGGTGCAATTTTTTTGCTAACAGTTGAAGGCGTTCTTTGAGAAGGACATGTCTTGAAAGGTTGTGCCCGGCAATGGATCACTCAAATCCTGTTCTATAGTTCAGTATACAGGGCAGAGCAAGAAACGAGTTTTTCATTTTCTCTTCGTTTTATTTGAATGGAACCTCTTATTCCAATAAAAAGAAATTGAAGAAGGAATCCCTTCTCAACGGCTTTCATTTACTTCGACACTGACTGAAACTCGCTCGGAAAATTCTTTGACTATGGTGGACAGCAGGGTCAAGCATCACGTTGGAAAAATGGTCTTATTAGTATGAGCTTTCCTTCAGAGAGAATTGTCCATAGAACCCTCCCCCCTCTCCTCCTCCACCCATAGGCTATCGAGGTATCTGCCCGATTTCTGTGGTCACGTCGCTTGCTTTGAGGAAGTAGCGCTACATCACCCACCGAACTTTCGTTGAAGTTCACTTCCTCAGAAGTGCATAACATCGCAGTCGATCATCTGCGGTAGCGGTAAGCAGGACCTGTGGTTTCTCGGAACGGTCCGTACGAAATCTTGCATGGCTACTTCACACCAGAAATAAGGCGGATAATTTTTGACGAATTGTTTTTTTTTTACTTTTCAATGCGCACACCTTTGGTCAGCCATAGGCGTCGAGACCAAGCAGATTTTCCCTTCTCAGTAAGCAGAACAGTTTTGCTGCAACTCTTGACGGCGATATTTGACCCGTTGCGGATTTTGCTTCGAAAATTTGGTCAAGCTGCAGTAAGAGGAATCCAAGATGGATCATTTTCATCCAGAAGTCTCGGAATTTCTCAGAGCACGTCTTTTGCTTGTGATAAACAGGGACTGAAGCGTAAAGGCATTGACCATCGTCCCTATGGGATGCGCCTCGCACTCGTCTTCCATTCAGAATGTGATATAGAAATAAGGGTCAGGTTGGAATATGGACATAATATATTCCAAGCTACTCTCTGAGCCAGCAAACGGGTTCCTTACCGTACTTGGACAAACGTGACATTTTGCTATGTTCTACTTTCTTCCACCCAAATTCGTAGTGGGATTTTGAGTGCAGTCAGGCTTACAGAAGACTTGCGGGTGTCAGTCGATGTATAAGCCAGTATTTTATTTATGCTCCTAAACGAATCTGGTTCCAGATGACCGTTCCTGGTTGGGTGATCCGAACGAGAGCCGGTTCACGATTTTATCTTTGGATGGAGTGAGTGTCATAGTCGCGCCTCAACACCACCTAAGGATCGAAGAGTTCACAAAGAAATTAGTTTTTTTCTCAAATTCAGTGTATACAATAAATACTTTATTTATAGCAGCATCTTCTCGTCTGTTTGGAACCAGCTGTGATGTCAACCTTTGATGAATCATAGTTCACATTAGTATGACGTCTAGAAACATTCTTGTAGATGTGAGTGAGAACTTCCGTGAAAGCTTCGTTAACGTTTGTGCTGTCCAAAGCCGAAGTTTCTGAAAGAGATTGGTTCGACTGAAGCCAGATGATTTCATATTGTGTCCTATGATAAAGCCCATCGTGGAAACGTGGTCTGGGGAGCTTTATTATTCTTGGATCAAGTACGAAATGCATTACAGAGATCTTATTGTTAGTGATCGAACTCATGGTCAGAGAGTAATAGCAAGAAATGACTCCGTTTGCATCCAAGGAGTAGTCAGTTGGGCAAGAAATCATAATCATACATTCTTCCAATAAACTCGCTCATGTAGAAAGTACCACTACTCTCACGCAGTTATTAATACCCCTTACCAATACAGAACAGTATTTGCGACAGATTTCGGTTTCGCGCCATGTCCAACCCGTGTACTTTGGTGTGCCAGGATGGTGATAGGTACACTCCACACGCTACTCAAATTGCTCGCTCTCTCAAGTTCAACGAACATATTGGTTGGCCCAAATTCCGCAATAAAGGTTTTGGCTTGCTGCCTGCTCAGGTACCTAACCAAAGAGCTGTGGAGGCGTGTGTATTTCGAATTACGGCTGCGTTCAAAGGGACTGAATTCAGGTTGTCCATAGACCACCTTCACCGTGTCGGCATTGCGCCTGCTACTCCTGGCAACTCGTACGCACCACTCGTGGTCAGATCTAGTTAATTTATTCCAGAATCACTGTATTACAAACTACTGAGTTGATGTGCCCGCTTGTAGGTCACTTGCGTGTGGGGCGTCTCAAAAACCAGGGACTGTTTATAACACACACGAAATTCCATAGACGTTCTTCACGTAGTTCGCTTTTGTACTAACCGAGTCCATGATCACTGGTGTTGCTCTCTCTTCGACATACAAGCTCTCAGACTGCAAGCTGACGCAGCGTGGTTCATAATACATAATTCCGCAGCCCAATACTTGAGGAGTTGAGTGATGCGGACGAGTTGTCTGGGGTAGAAGATGCCATGCGAACGCTGTAGCAGTGACGGCCAATGCAACCCAGTGCTGCTAATGCTAGTCGCATCGTCCAACGAATTACCGTAGAGGAAAATGACGCCCCAGTCAAACGTGAGAGGTGCAAGTTGTGGGTCTTGCCAGGGCATCGAGCTGTGCGCCCTCGCCCCCCCCCCCCCACGCCTGCCCGGCTTCTTCATCCGATCGCTTTTCCTGTTGGAAAAAGGCACGCTCTGCGAGCTGTGGATTGCCTGTCGCTGGAAGAATTTTCAGAGAACACGACACACCCCTTTCTTCCCCATCCTACCCTTTTCCTAGATTCCCCAGCTTTTACAAGTTTACTGTTTTTCCAGTTTTTCCGGAATTCCCCGGAAAATCTCCTAGTTTTTCTTCGAGATTTTGCTGTCGAGCGGGGGTGGGGTATCTAGCACATGCGAAATTTTTCTCAATTACGAGCCCTTCCCTGTAGCGTCTGAAACAAGGACAATCAACTATCAAAAAAATTTCTCAGACCAAATATGACCCTTCTTCCGCCACCGAACAATACTACCTGCGCTGGGGATTCCCAGTGTCCGACGTGGTATAATCCCGCAGGTTATCCAAATTGTCTTCAACTTCAGTTACATTTGTTATTTCGCTGCGCATGTGTTCTGTTCAACTAAAGGCCGTAGAGAGAAACCGACCTATGAATGCGAGGTGATTTTTCTCAGCAAATTTTAATGCAACATCGGTGGGGACGGCTCGGAAATGTCGTAGATCGAGCTTGTTGCCGACCAACATCACTGAGACATTCTCGTTCGAGAATTCACGCAGTTCTCGGAGCCATCGCTCACATGACTCCAACGTCTGCATCTTTGCTAAAATACGCAAATTGTAGGAGAAACCAGGGAATGGTGGCGAAAATTTCATGTACAGGTTCGAGAAACTTTCAATGAAAATGTGATAGTAATAGACTCACATACATATGTCATATACGAGAAGTGCTCCGACCGCTCCTCTATAATAGGCTGAAGTGATTGCACGATACCTCTCCTGACCGGCCGTGTCCCATACTTGAGCTTTTATTAACTTGCCATCTATCTGAAAGGAAAAAGGAACTTCATTTTGCCAGACCGGAATCGTAGACATTTTCCCAATCTCTTGAGTAGAACCACCCCGCAGGAGATGTCAGTGGCGCGCCTTGGAATTTGGTGTCTTTACCCAGGTTTATGAAAATCCGTATAGAATAGTTAAGACCTTAATCGCTCCTGTCTTGAACCTGCAGGTTCGTGCAGTGCAGAACTCCAGTTTCTATTGCCGAGGCGTTTCGCGAATGTGGACGAGCCCTTGCTATATGTAATTCCAGAGCCCGTTCATTGAACACTTTTGACTTGCACCAGAGGGCACATCTCGTTATTGGGTCCTTTTAATCATATGAATTGAACTCCAGAGATAGCGAAAAATGATTTGAACCTGTGAAGAAGTAGGTATAGAACAATGGCTGGTACAACCCCAAACCGCAGTCCTGAGACCTACCTGAAATTTATCAGGTCTTCCCATGATTCTTGTCTGTATTTCAATGATGCTCCTCTTTTGAGGGACATCTAGTCATCCTTATAATCACCATCAGGGTATCAAGATGAAAGACTTGCGACCATTCGCTGGACAGTGATTGGACGACTTTGTAGAAGAATGATCGGAACTGGTAGTCATTCGGAAGAATCATTTTTGAAGTAATAGTATCTTTTCGAGTTTTTCTGACCCGAATTTTTCCTCTCTAACCGACGATTTCACCTCTCAGATTCATATTCCGAGAGAAAATTGTCAGGGCTATTCGGCATATGTAGAATAATAATTCAGCGTAAGTCTCACAAGACGCGGCAAATCATCTTGGGCTCGTCGCTCATGTTTGCCTGCGTAGGAAGCAAGGAGCACCAATGTGGACAACGTCATGACCGGCCAAGCTCCGCCCATAAGTCGAGCGCGGCATGTGCCTTTGAGATTGTGAATATTAGACTTTATACGGCTATAGAATCGTTCTTCATTTTCCCGTGCTCACTCGCGACTTCTACTTTCCCACACTCGCGGAATCGTACAACTAGCTCCCTTACAAATGCGATTTCTCCAATACCACACCCTTTCGTATGATCCTCCTTTCAGCACCTATTTGCTATTTGAGGTCGGGAGGGACCCTTCAGAGGGCACCCTCGAAGCTCCTTTCTCCCTATGCCAAAGCCTCTGCGAAGCTATCCATTGTACACATAATATTGATTGCTTACGAGAAAAAAGAGTAAAGGGAGGAGACAAAAACATCTTGGACAGGCCTTCATGAACTAAGAGCGCGTTCAGACTTCGCGATCGCGCGATCGGATCGCTTGGATCGCGCGATCGAATCGCGCGATTGGATCGCGCGATCCGATCGCGCTACTGAGGGTGAAATTACTGCGGGAGGGGGTCATGTTCGTTCATGTTCAACTCAACTCAACAAACAACAACAACAACAAAGTTCTGGGAAGGGAGCGTACTAATATCACCATTTCTCACATCACAATGCTGTATCCTGCCTCCAATAGGCAGTTCCAAAAACGATATAAAAGTAAGTTCGACCTTTTTTGATGTCTTTTATTCCGTGTTCATATTCGCAATACTGACGTTTGCAGGAAGAAAAACCGTTGCAAGGAAAGAGTTGTTATAACCTGATGAGGACGGCAGAATACACAAAGCAAACACAATGTGACAACAAATGTAAAGGGAAAGGTGGAAGCGACTGGCCAAAATCGGGGGAAGGGAGAGAAACAACATCACCCGCTGTTAAAAGTTCTGCGTGTCTTACTTTTGGAACAAGATGTTCAACACTCCGCTTGAACGTACTCAAATGCAAAATTCAGTATAATAATTAGCATATTGTATATTTAGTACTATTTTACATAGGAAATAATAAATAACTCAAAGATATTTCGAAACGTTCTTTAAAATTAGGAGGGCGTTATGTACACAAAGGAAGAAAGAAGGAAAAGAGAGAGAGCAGGATCAATAAACATATACGCACATAACCCCCTCCCGCAGTAATTTCACCCTCAGTAGCGCGATCGGATCGCGCGATCCAATCGCGCGATTCCAAGATATCGGCGATTCGCGCGAAGTGCTCGTAACGCGCTCTAAGAGGGACCAACACATAACCGCAGACTTGGGCCGCGCTTACAACGAAGAAGATTCTAGTACCGTGAATGTCGGCTGGATTATTCGACAATTCACCGTATCGTTAAGCTCGAACGATAAAGCTTCAACCTTGTAAATCAGTTTTGAGGATGTTTACGAAATCCACCACTTCTAAGAATCGAGGTAGCTTTTGACTGTGAATTAGTCTATGCAATCACTTATGGGGAGTAGACTACTACGAACTTAGTATCATGTCCTCCGCCCCGAGGCTACAGATTAACATAACCCAGAGAGTTTAAAAACCCTTGGCTGGCTCGGGTGGAAGCCGCATCGGTATACGATCTCCGGCTGACTGTGTAAAGCTAGATGCTGCTTATGTACCATTATGCTGCCTCCGTTCTACCAAACTACTAATATTACCGTATATCATATGGCTTAGATAAGAGCAAATATTGGGTTTGTCCATAAGTAATGGCGTTTTTTTTTCAACTGGAAATTTTGTTTAAAAAGTGAAACGTTTTGCGAGAAGTTTGAAATCATCTGATGGGAAACTTCTCGTACTATAAGAATATCAAAACAGCTTTGGGTGAGGAAATGATTTTTGTAAGTTTTTAGTCGTTGAAGTTGAAAGTTGAGTCGGCGAAAATTAGTACCTTCGACAGCTGCCTCTATTTACGTCTACTTCGAAGTGCTAAAATCGCTTAAGCTGCTCCATACATTTGCAATAGGTTGAGGAAGTCCAGCGAGGGAATCCTCATAGGACGCTTCGGAACTAATTTCAAGAATTTCGAAGTTGGCAACCTTCACCTCGCAGATAATGGGCAGGATCACAAGTCATCGCGTCTGTTCCACTTGAAATTTTATGGTAATAGTTGAATGTTTCGCTAATGTGTTTGGATGCTCTGATAGCAAATTTCGTGCTCTATAACACTGCAATGGAAATCTGTTTTCCATAGCTGTTTACTTTCTGTTAATTTCAGGTTATTAATACGGAATGTCAGGTCGATGAGAATCAGCATTCCCGACTTCTTCTCCCTACCGCTTTCCACGGAAGCTTCAAAGCCCCTGGAGCAGCTCAATAGATTCGCCATGGTTTGAGTAAAGCATTGAGTAACAGATTAATATTAGGACGGCTCACAATTGATTTTGAGAAAAGCAAAACCGACAACGCTGACCTTGCAGACATCCGGTCGACCCATACCTCACGATTTTTTTTGTTTTCCTGATTAAATTTCAAACACAGTATTTACAACACTATAAAAAATATACATGTATACAATAAACTAGTCAATATATATTCTCCATTGTTTCTTACAACCTCCTCCCACCGATCAGCCAGCTCAGTCAGTCACCGAGAAGGCATTGAAAAGCTGGCTGATCGGTGGGAGGAGGTTGTAAGAAACAATGGAGAATATATTATTGACTAGTTTATTGTAAACATCTATATTTTATAGTATTGTAAATACTGTGCTAGGAATTTAATCAAGGAAAACAAAAAAAAATCGTGAGGTATGGGTCGACCGGATGTCTGCAAGGTCAGCGTTGTCGGTTTTGCTTTTCTCAAAATCAATTGTGAGCCGTCCTAATATTAATCTGTTACTCAATGCTTTACTCAAACCATGGCGAATCTATTGAGCTGCTCCAGGGGCTTTGAAGCTTCCGTGGAAAGCGGTAGGGAGAAGAAGTTGGGAATGCTAATTCTCATCGACCTGAAGTTGAAATAACCTGAAATTTACAGAAAGTAAATTGCTATAGAAAACAGATCTCCACTGCGGTGTTATATG